GTACTCAGTTATGCTAAATTATAATTTTAGCAAATATAGAAGTACTCGTCTACTTGCCCTAGCATAGGAGCATGTGCTCAGACTTAAAATAGGCCAAAGCATAATCTGATGTACACAACTGAAAGCTAACTAAAAGTTTGGGTAGCTCAGCTCAAGAAAGTAAAAGCAGATCCTTCAGCTGCTTTGTTTTAAATGTAAATGTTTAAGGAATAAAACTCCCTAAATTATTGCACCTTACTAGGCAGAAAGAAGTTTGTGTTTTTTTCCAGAGGTGTTGCTTTTTTATATTGGTATGCATATGGTACACCAAGCAGCCATGGAGAATAAGCATTGATAATGGGCAATCACAGTACTTTGCTGACACTGTTCTAGCATGTCTTGCTCTGTATTTTTAACAAAGCAATTAAATTACATATATTTATAGGGTTTCAAAATTACAGAAAATCATCCTGTAAGGCCTAGGAGTGTATGCCTTGGTTGTTTCTAAGGCACTGAGTGTCAGCATGCACAAGTCCGAGAGCAAGACATGAATCACAAGCAAACTGCCTGATAACTCATTCTTTCTTTTAATTCAGAATGTGAAGAATAATGAGAATTATCTTCTATATCATGCAAAATGTAAGGGAAGCAGGAAAAAAATGGTGTACCTTATTTCCTGTGGCTGATGAAGAAGTGGAATATATGGATAATATGTCTAATAACATATGTATTGATGTGGTTATGAGAAATGCTTAGCCTCTAAACATATAAATTTTAAATGGTAATTGTTCAGTATGAGATACCGACCTTCCCTGAATGATGTGAGAATCACCCCTGCTTAAGGCAGTCTCTAGAAGCTTGCAAGCAGGGGAAAGGTACGGAAGTACTATGAATTTAATATATGCTAAATTTACTGGGTTCTTATATACGTAGCCTAAAAGTCAAAAATTAAAGCCAAAAAAGTTTTTTGGACTGAAACACAGTAGTAATCTAACAATGGCAAAGACTAAGTTACTAAAGGAACTCTGGAGTGCTGGAGTCAACAAGGGACCAAATGGCTAAGCAGTACTTTTTCTTCCCTCTCACTCCCTGGTATATACATTTTTCCTCAGGGTCAAAATCCTGCCTAAGAAAAAAAAGTAGAATATGCAAACTGAAGCTGACACACAAACTAAGACTTCCTGTAAAATAAATATAGCAAGAAATATGAGAATATATGCATTAATAAGTGCATTTATGCAATATATGCACCTTTACCCTTTATTTAGAATGGATTGTACTTTAGTTAAATAAGCACATAAAAGCATATTTTTTTCCTTAACAGTTGGAAGCCTTTTCTTGTACGAATTTCTGTTGGTTGCTGCTTTTTTCTTCAAAAGGTGCAACTTTAAATTTATAAAATGTAGTCTCAGACTAGCTGGACAATTGGGTCCTTCTTATAAGTGCCCATCACCAGAATTGTACAGAAGATGCTGTATATGTCTGGGATTTTACACTAGGGCAGTTTCTTCTGCTAAGCCCCAAGTCTAGTGGGAGGCAGAGCTGGTCAGCATTGGCCTGTACATCAGGTATAATCTGCAGGCAGTATGTGTTTAGTTCCAAAGTAGCCGTAGTCAACCTAGTTAACTATCTGGGGAACACAGATAAAGAACAACACAAGTCTTTTCTGGTCTGAAAGATCATTTACAGTACACAGGAAAAGACAATTGTTCCTTGATGAAATTTTTTGTCAAGAATTATATTATTTTTCTTAGATAAGGAGTATCACCTTTTCAAGACTATCCTTAAGATAATTATCTGTTTGTGGAGGTCTTCTCTGAATTAAGTGCTATTTGCCTGATTATTGGCAAGATGCAACTAAAACATGAGAGATCCTACAATCGTTTCTGGATACTGGAAAATGTGTGTGCTCATGGAGGAATGGGGTAAATATTTAGGCCATAAATTGTGTTAGACATGGAATACATGTACAGTTAGGAAAGATGATCAAACCCTGAAGACTTACAGTCTTGTAACTGATAATAGTAGCATGCTGAGGTAAAGTGAAAGTTGCATAATTTTTCAGCTTTCTAATCTGTCTTTAATGAACATGGCCTCATTAACTTTCTTGAATGTATTCCTAAGTATAGGGAATGAATTGTTGCTATAGGATCCTTCTAATTTAGTTCTTCACTGCTAGGCAAAAGCTCTGCAACATTTTGAATTAAATGTTTGAAATAATTGCTTTTCCAGACAAAAAAAAAAAAAAAAAAAGAAAGAAAAAAGTGGTGGAGGGCGTGTGGAGAGCATTACATTATATTTCTGCTTTACCTGTGTTCATTTTCACTTAGTATAATATCACTTAATAGTATAAGAAATAGTGACTGTGGATAGACTCTGAGTTTATTTGTAAAGTGAGAGCTGTGATGGGAGGCTAGAATACAAAAATACTCTAGGAATATACGGCACTTACTATCAGTTGCTTCATATAGAGCTGCTGAGATATCAGAAGAAAAAACAACCATACTCATTTTTCCACGAGTACCCACAGCAGTGAAGATAGCATCAGGTGCATACAGCTGTAATGCAACCATATTTATCTCTATACAAGAATAACACATGGGAGAGAGATAAACGGGCAAACATTTAGTTGACTGCAACAAATATCTTTACAAATATGGTTGCATTGTCTACGTGGAAAAGGAATTTCTGAAGATCTGAGATCGGACAAGTAAGAAAGAAGAAGGATTTGAGCACTCTTAAGACCTGTACAAAAGAGAGTAGAGAGAAGTATTCAGCTATTGTCTGCTCTCACACTACACTGTAGGCTGACAAGGTAGTATATCAAAACCGCTTTGTGCTGCTTTTGACAGGGATAGAGCTACTTTTCTTCACAGAAGCTAGTGTGGGGCTGTGTATTGGGTTTGTGATGGAAACGTTGTTGATAACACACGGATGTTTTAGCTGTAACTGAGCAGTGCTTACACAGAGTCAAGACCTTTTCTGCTCCTCACACCACCCCCACAGCGAGCAGGAGCAGGCTGGTGGTGCACAAGGAGCTGGGAAGGGACACGGCCACGACAGCTGATCCCAACTGACTCAGGGGATATTTCATACTGTATGGCATCATGCTCAACATTTAAAGCCGGGGAAAAAAGAATGAGAATATTTTGTTTGGAGTGATGGCATTTGTCTTCCCAAGTAACTGTCACACATGATGCTTTCCTGGAAATGGCCGAACACCTGCCTACCCATGGGAAGCAGAATAAATTTATTGTTTTGCTTTGCTTGTGTGAGTGGCTTTTGCTTTACCTGTTAAACTGTCGAAACCCATGAATTTTCTCACTTTTACCCTTCTGATTCTCTTCCCCGTTCCACTAGGAGTGAGTGAGCGAGCAGCTGTGTGGTGCTTAGTTGCCATCAGGAGCTAGACTGTGACAACCTTCCATACAAAAATCACACCAGTGTTATGAAAATGTTATTGCCAGGTTCTGACTGGACTTTGTCTTTTGATTGCCTTGGGGAAAGGATAAAAGGAGAAACAGTCTACATTGTGGCGCCTCATATAAGTACAACATACTAGTCCCCCATCATTGCTTCCCTTCATTGCCCATATCCTTCAATGATAACAAAGCTGAGCCTTTCTTCAGACAAGGGGTACTTCATCTTGCAAAGCTGTGTGTTTGAGATAAAAAAGCTTCTCTGCCTGACTGGGGGTCTGCCTACTTCTCATCATAAGACAGAATAATTTCATCCAACTTTAGATAAAAAATGATATTAGATAAACACATCTTCATTGCTTGGTTCTTTCTTATAACTATTTATTGAAATCAAGATATGTGGGCAAAGAAGCGGTAACAAAATTTTATAGGCAATATTTTTACTTTGCCTAGTTTAAAGTAAAAGAGTCAGGTAAAGAATCAGCCTACAGGTGACATAGAAGACGAAGTTTCCAATTTATATTAAGTTTGTCCATTAACTATTAAGCAAGTCCTTTCCTAAGGTACATAAACAAAAACCAAAATCATAGAATTACAGAATGGTTTGGGTTGGAAGGGACTTTAAAGATCATCCAGATCCACCCCCCCTGCCATGGGCAGGGACATCTTTCACTAGACCAGGTTGCTCAAAGCCCCATCCAACCTGGCCTTGAACACTTTCAGGGATTGGAGCAGCCACAGTTTCACTGGGCAACCTGTGCCAGTGCTTCACCACTCTCACACTAAAGAGCTTCTTCCTAATATCTGACCTACCTAAATCAACCCTCTTTCAGTTTAAAGACATTCCTCCTTGTCCTGTCACTACACTAAAATGTCTTATCACTGTCCTAAAATGCTGCATCAAAGCTTGTCTTGGACCATCATTCTGAAGCTGTAATACAAGTTGTCATTTTGAGTGTCAGCTGGGATGACCCAAATGTGTATGTGACTTTATTTGGCACAGAGATTTATAGAAAGGGAAATATTCATTTGTTAATATAGAAGTTAATACCAGAAACAGCAAGTTGATAGTAAAAAAGAAGCAAATCTATGGGAAATGCCTTTTCCTTGGCCTAAAAGTGGAATTATATTGTTCATAAAAAGCACAAAAAGAGACCCTATAATACTGTATTCATTTATTGGATAATTATGACTTTGACTCAATGATTCTCTTATATTTTGCAATTCCAGTAATAAAAATGGCCATTCTGTCATCATATTGTGTTGTTATTCAGCAATAATATTTTTAGGAAGACATAACAATTACCGTGACTACTTAATTCTGTAACACAGACTGTCTTTCAGGCAAAATTAGTTTCAGATACCATAGATCTCAGTACAGTATTGATATGTAACATGAATGCATAGCAAAGAACTAATGTTAAATGTTAAAATGGTGAATAGGTGTGTTCTAGCAAAAATAAAAATGGAAAAGAATTTAAAAGGCTAAATATTTTAAATAAACTTTTGTTACTATAGCCCCACAGATTTTTCCTGATGCTTTTCAAGCTGCAAAAAGAATTAAATTAAATATTTAAAATGTGAACAAGCAAGTTTACTTACTGTTTCCTGGATGCCAGCGCACTGCATTTAAATATGCATTGCAGTAATGGAAGAGAAATTCATGGTTGGATTGGGTAACTTTTCCTTGAAGTAAGGGCATCAGATCATGTCCATCAATAATTCTGAGTAAGAAAGCATTTCAAAATCAGAAGATTAACCCAAACCTCACTTTACTGAAAAGATTTCATATCTCTGCATTTTCATTACTTAAAAAAATAAATCTGAATAGCCACCTCCAGTTGGTCAATTTGGAGAAAAACCTTCAGGTACTCTTTCCCTTTGTTTTTTTACATTATTTAATGTAAATTTCACATTTTGCCATTAGGCAAGTTTGTTTCCTCAACAAATTTTTATCTTGCTTTCTTTACTTTTTTCTGAGAAAATGACCACACATTCATAAATAAATTGTAACAACACAGCCATCCATGTATACCTGCTAAAACTGCTTGGGACTAATTTGGCCAAAGTAATCCTAAAACAAGAGAAAAACATGCTATATTGTGTTAGCATTCCCAGAAGTAATGGTAAAAACTCTGTCCAGCAAATTATGCATGCCAGGATTTGAAACAGAAGTAATTTCGAACTTGGAAATGAATTATGTCTAAACATGTGTTTTTCAAGTACAGAAAAGCCTTTGAATTGCCGAAATCAGCTGGCAAGGAAGAAATCACAATCTGTACTTTAGGCCTGTGTGAATTACAAATGTTACAAGAAGTTCTATAAGAAATTATTTTTACTGACATACATACAGTTCAGCAGTTATTTTTTTTAAATATTTTGAGCAACTTCTCACAAAAACTTTTTTGAAACTTTTTTCAAAGTTCAATAATGTCTCTGTTAATTTTCATTACTGTGTAAAACCCTTTTCACATTAGTGTAACTGCTACAACATGGGTACTAACCTCACTTTTTTAAGCCTATCATATGTATAAAATTCTTGGCAGCAACTGTGTGCAAAGACACTTCTCAAAGGACAGTCAGGAAAACGTCCTGGAATTTTTAAAGCTATACTGTCCAATAACTGCTTTCTGGGTGCATCACTGTCTGTGGGAGTCTGTTGAATTAGAGTCCTTCTCATTTTCCATCTGTTGTGTTTTCTTGCCTGAGTAATGCACTTTTGTTTTGTCCCTTGGCTGGCTCACTGTCAAGCTGGGAGCAGGACAGATGCATGCCAATTGTACGCTTTCTGTTCTTCAGCATGTTGATAGGGAAAAGGATGTCTCCAGCAAGATGTCTCCAGTACTCTTGCATTCCCACAACTGCTGGTTTCATAGGGTATGTGAGACTTTTCTTCCTGACCCACCAGTAAAGCAGTAATTATGGCATGTAGTCGACACAGAAGAATCAGAACAGAGCAACTTGCAAGTGGAAGGTACACAAGTATATTGGGATTTCTATCAGAGAACAAAATAAAACATCTGTGCTTGGTCTTCACTCAAGCAATATGAACACAAAGTGCATAAGATCTGCCCCCATTAAAAACAACCTGAAATGCTTAGAGTTACTTCTTGTAGGGCATCTCTCAAGACCAGCCTGACTAATTTTTCATGTCTTACACATGTCCTGCCCTGACATTTCCTTCAAGCATTAAATGAATCATCATTAGCAGAGTGTCTCTGCTCACCACTGGTTTTCCCCACAGGGATTCTGGATGCTTTGTGCTCAGAAGATGTTTGTGTGTGGTAGATGTTTTCAAAGCATACACATAGCAGCAGGTTTCCCTATTTATTGAATTTGTATGGCAAGGATGCACCTTGCTGCTGAGACTGGGTATCTTCTGAACAAGACAAAACACAGGTATGTAGGAGTGCCAATAAAGCATCTTACGAATTTTAGAAGGCCAGTTTTCTTATCAGGCTTTAAAACTCTGTAAGGGATTATTTTAACTGATTTCAGGAGAGAAAAAACCCCCAAAACTGTGAAAAAAGCCCAGCTGTCATTTTGATGCATTTTGTTATACTAATCAGGCCAAGGTCGACTTCGTAAAGTTCAATTTACACTTGCAGTCCCTTTCCTACCACATTCATTCATGCAAAACACAGACTTTTTTATACATTCATTTTTCATTTTAGGAAATAATTCTGAGGCCTGATTTGACAGTATGTCACTCTTGGTGCTTGTTCTGGTTTTGGCTGGGATGGAGTCAACTTCCTTTTAGTAGCTGGCAGTGCTGTGTTTTGGCTTTAGCCTGAGAACAATGCTGTTAACACAGCCATGTTTTAGCTGCTAAGTAGCACTTACCCTGATTAAGGATTTTTCAGTCTCATCCTCTGCCAGTGAAAAGGGGCACAAGAAGACAGGAGGGATCAGAGACAGGACACCTGACCCAAACTAACCAAAGAGGTATTCCATACCACAGCACATCATGCCCAGTATATAAACTGGGAGGGGTGGGAGGGGTGTGGGAAAATGGGGGAAATTAGACCACCTCACCCCACTCCCACAAAGTTATATAACACTAAGGAAACCTTAGGTTAAAATGCAGCTGCTACTTCCAGGGTGGGATGCAGTTGGCATGTATGGAATCTACTTGATGATAGTTACCCAGGCAGACCTGGTTTCTTATCTCAGTGGCAGGGTTTACAATCAATCTTTCAATTCTCCTCCCCATTCCACCCTGGAAGAGGGTAAGGCAGGGGGTGAAAGAACAGCTGCACGGCACTGAGTTACCAGCTGGGTTAAACCACAACAGCTGTATTTTCTTCTTGCTTGATGCTTGTTATACAAGTTAAGCTGTATTTACATATCATGTTTCTGCAAAATCTATAAGTATATCGGTATTAAAAGAGAAAGCATACTACTGTAAGTGATCACAAAAAAGTGCTTTAAGCTCTATTTTTTTTCTTTTCCTTTCCACCTCTATCTTAATAGACATCACCAGAATGTATAAAACACTCATGAGACTTCCTCCAAAACAAAGATGACTACAGAGCATACCTGTCAGAAGGTAATTGTGCCTGAGCAAGTTTGACTACGGTAGGAAATATATCCATGTTACTTGTTGGTTTATCAAGATAGGAACCAGCCTGTATCATTCCAGGCCAACGAAGAAGCCCTGGTACACGAATACCACCTTCCCAGTTCGTTGCTTTTCCACCTGAAAAACAGAAGTTTTGTTTGCTAAGAAATCAATTTCTACTCAAACAGTAGCCACCCCAAAAGATTCAATTTCCAAATATTAAGCATTTTGTGTGTCTAGAAATTGTCATCAAATGCTTTATCTTATTTTCAATTTGCTAGGTTTAGATTTTCCACATACAATCAGCACTTTTCTCATAGTATATCTACTAATATATATTAGAGCTTATAAAATGAGTTTAGTTTACAAACAAAACTAAGTAACAGATGTAGGAGATAAAAAGGCACCTTGTAGGCATCTAAAGATAGAACTTTGCTTAGTGTGACGCATAGCTATGTGAAGGTATAACCAAAAACCAGGAACAGAAATTAAATTGATGTATGCCTATATGTCTGAGGTATGAACCCAGAAAAGATATATTTTAAAGATATAAGCTATAAAGATAAGATATATATAGACATAGATCTGTATCCTATATGTAAATATACACACATATATATATATACGCATATATATAGGCACACGGTCACACAGTCTTGTGGCTGAAAAATCTTTACCTCACGATTCTTTGTAATACAAAATTTTGGTTGCTTTTTTCAGGGGCTTTTTCAGAATTCATAATATTGAATAGTCAAGGACACATAATTATCTAGTCCAAAACCAGAAAACGTAGACTTTCTAATATCCAACATTACATCAAGCAACAATCTGTGCTTTAGTTGTTTTTGGAAAGCAGTGCCAAGTTCAGAGCTCAGCACAACTATCTGTCTTTTAGAGCAGCCTGAAAAATTTACTTTTGTTACTGCACCAGATGCTATTCCATTCTCACGACAAAACATGTGGTTTCCTATCCTAAAGCTCAAGAAAGAGATACTTGCATTATTTTTGTTTACACTGTTGTAGAAAATCCAATTTTTTAAAAAAGAAAAATCTAAATAAAATGTAGATTTATGTTTATTAATGTGTTGCTTGGTGAGGTTTAAAACACCTGTCATCTAGGAGAAATAAGTGTTCACCCAACAGTACGACGATTGGTTATTAATACAGCTGAGACCAGGGTAGATGCCAATGGACTGTAGAAAAGATGGCTCTACCCATGTACAACAGTCATTAGGGTTTTAAAAGTCTGGTGAGGATTATGTGTTACTTAGTAGGAAAGTGTTAAGATTAATATCCTGACAGAACTATGGTTCACAGAAAATCCTACTGAGGAGTAGTTAAATCTGAATAAAAATACAAGAAAAGGACATGAAATTACAGGTATCCTCAAACTAAGATATTTTCAGTGAATAGCTATGCTGGGGAGATGATTTAGTTCATGAGATGGATCCTAGTTCTGTGTACACATCACAGCAGCTTGTTGGATGGACAGTATGGACAGACAAAACTCAGCTGATCTATACCATAGGTAGCTTTTAGTGCAAGGTTTCCTTTATTTCTCTATCCCTATCTGAACCTAGTGACAGTGCTAGATAGACTGGATTGCTTAAATAAATTCTTGTTTTATTGTTGCATTCTGTGTAATCTGAAGACAGAGCAATTTCAAGGTAAGTGGAAATCCATTCCCACACGTTGAAATTCTTAAAACCTAGATATTGGATCACTTTCACAGCTCCTAGGTTCACAGCTCAATTTTCTTGAGTCATTACAGAACAGGACAAAAAACTTGTACATTACCCAAGCACAAAGGGTGCACTCAGCAAACTCAGCCTCCCTGCTGTGAGATACAAAAAGCAAAATGGACTCCACAGCAGGGCTGTCTCCTCACTTATGTCCATGAAGAAGTCACTGCTGTTTTCCTATCAAAAGACTAATTGGAGCATAATTTTTTTATATCTCTGGAGGTTAGGAATAGCAAGGAACCAGGGCACGAATTACAGGTCTGTTGCGGAAAACTGTCTTTTATTATCTGTGCCTACATGGTGCTCATCTTCATTAGAACTAGTTTTACTGACATCACTGGAGTTGCTTAATGATATGATATGATTACAAATCCCTTGATATACATTGTCTTTACAACTCTAGCTGTTAAACATTGTTCAAGCTAGCTACATTTTTTCTTTAAAAAAAAAAAAAAGCAACCAAGGGTTCACTACTAATGCTTGAAACATAAATCAAACATCCAAATAGCTAAAATGTTAGAAGGAAAATAAAATAATCACAGCAGGCCATTATTTTAAAATAAAATATTTTGATATTTAAGGATCTGACTCATTAGTTTTGTATTTTGCTTGGACTTGGCAAGACTGAAACAAAGAAAAGGCAGCAACCTAGTAGTCTTTATACCCAGCAAACTCTAGGCAGCCTAGCCATATATTATTATTCTTCTCTTAAATTCTTCAAAAAATATTTTTAAAACAGCATAAAACACCCCAGGCTGTATTTTCATGCTTAGCTATCTATGCTTTCTGAGTAGCTGCACCCTTCAGTGCTATATTGAACAATAGCCTACATTTACCTTTCCTGAAAAATCTGCAGGAGTAGCGTAAGTACAGACATAACTCTCTGCAGTTATCCACAACACGATGCCAAATTTCCATTTTAACCTCATTTTAAATCTTAGCTATGAGAATATTTCTTTTTTTTCTCCCTCTGGTTTAAATTGACTGCTATTACTGAACTCTGGGAATAGAGCTTTTACAAAAGATGATATATAAATGGGGAACTCTGTGGTATATCACTATTAATATTTTGAATGATGAATGACAAAAACTATTTAAAATAACTCTCTTAGATCATTTGGGTTATAGCCATACTGGCCTTTCTGTCCTTCTTATATTCTTCTAAAAACAAAGCTTCCAAACCCAATTAATTCTCTTGAATTATAGAAAAATGCAAGGAAATTAATTATTCTACCCACCTGTAGTGGACTTCATGCTACTATTCGTTACCTTAGTAAATGATCAAACAGCAATTTCTTTTCAGTGGCAAGTTCAGTATTTCACTGATTTTTAATCGGGTTTATACACCTTTGTTAATTTTCAACTTGAGCTGTTCTTGTACAGGTGAAGGTACAGATAATAGCTTATTTGGATGAATTTCACCTGTCTTCCAGGTTACAGGTGAAAACTAATTTATATGTTATAACAACTTTTATGCTATAAACAACTTAGAGGTTATAAATTATACATGCAATATGACTTACATGACAATATATTAAAAATCATTCAGTTACCTGATATGAAAGATAAAGAGATAGACAGGAAAATACAAGGAAACAAAGATTTAAAAAGAAAAAAAATCATAAACTTGAAGTTTCCAAAGAAAATAACTGGCCCAAATGACTCAAAGGACCACTAAGTCCAGAGGAACTACTAGGTTTCTTTCTCTGATCACTGACCGAAATATTGAGTAACCAGGCAAAATGCATTATCATGTATGTACCCAAGCATTCTTCAGGTGTTCAGGTAAGAAAGTCTTGAGCACTGTAATTGTTTAGAAGTCTTGAGCTATTGGGAAAAAATTCTTACTGAAATAGCTACTATTTTTTGTTTTGGAGGCTGTATCCAGATTTCAACCTTCGAAAGATCTTTGAGAAGGACCTTTAGAAACAGCTTCAGGAACATAAATCATGGGTTAGGAGACAAAAGGTTGTCATGAATCAAAATCTGACTAACAGACAGGAAACAAAGAGATAAAATAGCCTGTGACACTATGCAAAAAAGTTAATATTAAGGTACCTTGATGCTACCCTGTGTTACATCCCTTGCTATTTTAATATATTCAATTTTGGAAGGGAAGTGAGCTGTGGAATTGAAAATTTGCATGACATGTTGATCAAATTCAGAAGAAAAGGTAATGGACTTCATGCCAAGCTGGATGGAACAGGAAACAAGATGCATGTTCAAAATCTATAAAAGTATTTGTAGCACAAATGACCATCAGAATAAAAATAACTTATTCTAAGTATTCTAACTAAGGCCACAGGCCTTAGTTATTCATACCATAACATTCACTGCACACTTAAGAAAAAGGACCTATGCAAAGACTAGTGCTTAATACACATCTGTAATTAGTAAGATACAAAGACAATAGGCAATCTATAGGATCTAATGGATAATATTAACAAGTAAGTATACAAACAAGTAGTGGCAAAATGTGAAAGGCAATACTTGCAAAACCATTTTAAAAGACTATATTTTGCAATTAGAAAGAGTTCAAAGAAGAAAATAATGAAAAATTAGGGACAAAAAACCTCTCATCAGTTAAGACTAAAGAGAGAGACTGGGGAGACAATTGTTTTCTGAATGAGGTATTAAAGAGAAAGAGGTATAATAAAAGTATGTAAAAGAAAGGTAAGCTGGGGAAGTTATAATAAGTTTTCCCTCCTTTATCCTATATCAATGAGGAAACAGTATTAAAATTCAAGATGTTCAATTAAATTTGCAACAGTCCCATTTCAAAACAGTAAATGAAAGCACTGTGCTCTCATTGCCAAATGATTTAGGCTATGCTAAGAATTTAGAAAGACTCAAAGTGGTATTTCATTTTCCTAGCATTTATATAACTAATTCTAAAGTTCTTTGTAGAATCTAAATTGACAGGTTTCACAACTTAAACCAAGGTTATACTATCTGGGACTACGAAAATATTTTCTTAGGGACCTTCTTTATTTACTAAACAGCTCCTGCACCTTCCTCCAAGGAAGTATCCTGATAACTGTCAGAAAAAGGCCACTGAAAACATAGGCCATGATTTTGATCCATCACTGCAATATTACTATATAATGTCTTCTGGAAAGGATATTGAAGAGAGAGTCTGTAAATGGAAATGACAGCAGCAGTTAAACACTATGTTAGCTCTGGTTTCTAATTTCAAGGTCTATACAAATTTATGGTGACTGTTGCAGTCAGAACCCAAAGTAATAAAATCTTCAAAAGCAATTTCCCCATTCTGCATTCAGTCTCGCAGCATTAGCCTAACTCTCCAAACTCCTCTTAAAATTTATTATTGGTGCTCATTTGGCTGGATATCAAGACAAATTAGTGAGTTTGAATTGTGGAGATCTGTTGAGAGCTTTTGATTTTAGGGCAGAATCAATTATTGTTGAGCATACTGCTCCAGCTCAGACAAGAGGGTTAAGTGTCTTGATTCATATTCACATTCATGCCGTGCTCATGTGCAAAAAGATAAGTAGTGGAGGTTGTAGAGCAGAGACAATCTCTGGTAGAAGAAAAAAAGACGTGCATACCTCACAGCTTTGTAAACTGCTTATCAGATGATGCAAACTCCTAGTGCTTGCACACATGAAGCACGAGCAGCATAAAGATAAACCTACAGCTTTTTTTTTTCTTGGCATATTGCTATATCAGTGCGGAAACCTAGGACTTCATGGGTCTGATGTCCATTAAATCTTGCAGAGATGTACAGACCTACAGACCTCTAACACTGTTTATTGTACATGACTTTTAACATGAATAAAGTCTTGCTAATCATGCAATTGATTGATCATCATTCCTTTTGAAGATTTAGTGTGAGGTGTCCCTGCCCATGGCAGGGGGGTTGGAACTAGGTAATCTTAAGGGCCTTTCCAACCCTAACTGTTCTATGATTCTACGAAAGATGATCCATAATATACTTGATAAATTGAGGACTGATATGGAGATGGAAAGAGTGGAAGATAAACCAGAATTCATTGTATTTTTAAAAGTCAGAAGTATATTTAAATGACTGCATTGGTCTTTTAATTTATTTCTATTTTATTAAGAATGTCTCTCATGCAATATTCTTTTTTGTTTCTTATATAGTGTTTATTTTCTATCCCATAGTATAGTACAACATTTGCCAGCATAACATAGGTAGTAACTGCAAACCACACAATTAATATTAAAAATCGCTCTCCAAATAACTGTATCAGTCAGATTTTTTATTAATTCAGATTTCAAATTGCTATCCATTCTGCAAGTATGAATACAAAATTTTGCAATGCTTGATAGAAAATGCTCCATTGAATCATCAAGTTCCTAAGGAACATATATTCCCCAGTGCCTTTGTCTTTTTTTCTTCTGCTTCATCATTTACCCTGTATCTTACCCTGTATCTTATGTCTGGCATTCTAGAAGGCAAGTATCTTTTAGAGCTTCTAAAACCCCTCAGGCTGTGCCTACAGCTACAGATATGTAACCATATGGTTTCTTAATTACTTAAATCACTATGTAAAGCCTATGTGCTAACAGTCAAGATACATTTCACTCTGGTGCTAGCTGAAGGGGACCCATCTGATAGTCTGGAACCTGATGACTGGTGTTGCTCATTTTGCTTGTGTAGCATTTCCTTCACAAACAGCTCTTTTAAAGCATAAGGGTCATTTCTCAGGCAGATACCTACTGACTAAAAACTGTAGAGTCTTCTCACTTGAAAACCTCACTGTATTGTTATTGTTTACTGTATATGTCTATTTTTCTTCCTTTTTGGCAGTTTTTCAGATGTTACATAACTAAGAGGAATGGCTGATCCATTGGTGGCTGTGTTGCTATCCAGAGGGACCTTGGCAGGCTGGAGAAATGAGCCAGAATGAACCTCATGAAGTTCAGCAAAGGGAAGAGAATTAAAACTAGCTGTATATAGCCAGTTCTTGGTGAAAGAATGAAAATAATTTTATCTCTGGTAGGTAAAACAACAGGAATATTCATCACATTTACTTAAAAATAATAAAAACAAGCATTCCCACCCTGATTCAGTGAGATTATTAACATAGAATCATAGAATCATAGAATAGTTAGGGTTGGAAAGGACCTTCAGATCATCAAATTCCAACCCCCCTGCCATGGGCAGGGACACCTCGCTCTAAAACATGTTGATATGCTTTTTCCTAATGCTGTGTGTCTACTACTTGCCCACTGGAAAACTGTTTTCTGTAGTTTATCAGAAAAAATCATTTATTTACTATTTGATAATGTGGTCAATGAGCAGTCTGTGACTAATCATAATCTTTGATTATGACCAAACTGTGACTGAATGTTATAGTCATGCTACCAAGCAGAACTTTTCCATCTCCACATCCTTTGTTCTCTCATTCTATTAACTCCTCTTGTCTGCTTTAAAAAAAATAAAAAAGGAAAAGAAAAAAATTGCTGACAAAAATTATTTTCATCCCCATGTTGGAACCATGCACTCAAACGTATCCAGTGATGTAGTACATTCCTGCTGACTGGAGGGAATCACCATGCCAGGGATATAGAAATAGAAAAACTGAGGAAGGTTATTTCCTAAGCTGGAATTTTTCTTTTTTACAGATCACCATATTGCAACAAAAGCAATTCCTTTCACTACTGCTGTATGATATCACGAGGAGAAAGTACACTACAATAAGGTAAACTTTAAACGCATTTTAAGGCTCCACAGAATAAACAGATTTTGGTGTAATAATCTCCTCAAGCCCTTCACTAAAAGACAACTAAACTCTGTCCTTTTAACTAAAGTGTCTTTATTTCTAAATCAGTCCTCAATTCAGTGTGTTATGCACTATTTTCAAAACTCTCTCAGTATTTTCTGCTTGAAATCTTGTCCTCTTCTGGCTGTTGTTGAACTTGCCCATCCCAAACTCAATCCAGCTCTGATTTTTTTCTTTCTTTAACCTAACTTTCCTTTTCTACTTTTTCTGTAATGACTATAATGGACTCTGTTCTCCCATCTTCTCTGATCTTCTGGTTCTGTGATCCCACTCACTCCATGGTATTTAACTCCTAATTATGATTCCTGGTGCCTCATAAACCACCTTTTTTCTGTTCTATTCTGCTATCTGGCCATTATAGTAAGTACTGTAAACTGACATCCTTCCAAAGCTGTATCTCTGCCCAGTTCAGGAGTATATTTGCTAGTGTTAAAACTCCACAAAGCTCTGGCTGAGTATGTACTCTGGTTGAGCTGCTGTATTTGACAAGTAAATCCCTTATATTTACTACCTGCGTTTGAAATTTGGAATGACAGTCATCAGAAGTTTATTATTAGGGAATCAAGTTTTGACCTTGGCCATAGAGTAGGTTAAAGTTTTGGAGTAAAAACAAGGAGATTATAGTTTCTGACAGAGATTTTAAGAATCACCAGAGAAAGTTCACCTTTATATATGCCATTGTATCCTCCATGGACTTCTCCAGAACTGGAGATTTCTTCCACATGAGCCCCTTGGTCAGATGTAAAGTACACGAGAGTTTTATCACTCAGATTATATTTGTCCAGCACATCCAGAATCTGCCCTAGGAAAAAAATAAATTAAAAAAAAAAAAAAGAAAAAAAAGAGAGAACAACTTTAATGTCTTTGACTGGCTTTTCCATTAGCCTTGGCACATACAAATATTTTTGTCCTTATGCTTTTTTAAGATCACTTTCCATATAAATACTATTATACATAGAGATTGGCCTCATGCAGCATACAGTAGGGGACAATTGCACAAACCTTGTTGCAATCAGGGCCATGGTTCGATTGCTGCAGGGTTACTTGAAGCACAAAATAAGAGGATTTGTGCGCATCAGAGAAAAAGGCTGATCCACAGGGAGCCAGTGACCTTTGGAAGCAGTTGCTCTCAATCAAGGAAACCCCTCAGCAAGAAGATTCAAACCGCTGAGGATATCTGAGAGTCTCAGCATGCAGAATAGAGCTAATAGTTCGGGGGTAAAGCTTTGCTGCTTAGCAACCTGTAGAGGCAGCATGGCAAAAATCTCAGTGTGAATGTTAGAATAAGACATTCTACAAAAAAAAGGAAGTTTTTGGTATGGAGTACCTCTGAAGGCCCCATGTTTTGTTACCAAATTGTAATCAAACCTACTAATTAGTCCCTAATTTCTCATGATATAAGAATAAACATCAACTAAACTCAGTATGTGCAAATTAATACATACATGAGCACATTTTAAAAGAGGAATCCACATGGATGTGCTCTGTAACTCTAAGCCATATGGGCTTATGCTCCTTTTTCACAAATGACTCCTCATACTGGCACTGTGGATAGCCTTGCAGGACACATAAATTACATTCAAACCTATTTAGATTGAGTTCTTTAAAGACGGTTTCTGTAGGAAGGAGAATGAAACCGCTCTTTGTAACTTGCTCCAGTGAATTTCATATGGAATTTAAAATTATTGGTCCTGGAAAATGATCAAGATTTAAGAATATACTTCTTCGCATCAGCCTGCAAATGAGCTTTAACTTTGCCCTTTAGGGATCTTAGAGAATATAATGATAATTCTGTCTTCACAACCATTTTATCTTTACTCTTTTTACTTAAACATCCAAGACTGGTCCAATTTCAGTGTTAATTTTGATTTGCTCACCTGTCAACTAAAAATTAATTCATCAGCTGATGCCAAATTATTGTGTCAAGGATGCTGAGATAAGAACTTTGAAATACGGAGTCTGTAAAGATTTTCAGATCACATTTCTGTTGCTATACTCTTTTTTTTTTTTTTTTTTATAAGGAGTAATTACCTTACCTTATTGCTACTATTTCTACAGGTCTTTTAATCTTATAGCATTCTAAAACTGCCTTTTTAAAAAAGCTGACTGTTTTAATTTCTCATCAGCTCAATTGACTGGGTGATGAATAAAGGAACATCAGCAGTTAAGAAGGCAATACCTGTTGGTCTTGTTTGTAAACTAAGAGCAAAGAAGAAATGTAAGAGCAGGAAAGTTTGTTTATGTAAATTTTGAAACCTTGTGGGAGTAGAAATTTCCCAACAGAGCTGAGAAAAATCTGTTACAAAGGCTGACATTTTAAAGTTGGTGGGTTGAGGGAAAATCATGCAGATCCATCTGACAAGTCACTGGTTTGCTGCAGTAGGTGGACTTAGTGCCAGAAAAGAAAAAGGCAATTTCCAATTGGCTTCTGAGGTTGTCTGGAGAATGTACTTGCTAAGTAATTACAATATCCTTTGGAAAAGCTGCAATGATTGTAGAAAAGTAGCGTATATAGATAAATTAGGGCATTATGTGTGGATATTCAACCACATGACCTCCTGAATTCCCTTTCAACAACTAACAATCTATGATTTTGTGATTCAATGATTATAATAATAAATGGGATTGCACAAACAAATATATGTGTAATGGCAGACACAAATGTATTTTTATTTACATGCAGTTTTTCTTGATGAAATGTGATTTTACAATTCACCCCGTACATAAATCAAAATGAAAATAAAATGAGAATTCCACTCAGTACATCACTTTAAATAATCTCTGGTGATCAGAGACATCTGCTGTCATTCAATAATGGATAATTTGATTTCCTAATCATTTCAGGAAAAATGAAAAGCAATGAAAAATATCTCACTATCACAAATAATTAAATAAAATAGTCATCATTATAATTACTTTTTTTTTTTCCTCTGGAAGCAAGGTTGATTAGCTTGACTTGGCCTGAAAAAAAGATAAATTCTGACACTTGAATGTTACCATTTCAGAAAAAAACAAACCAAGAAAACAAACAAATAAACAAACAAAAAAAATCGAACCACTCAAAAACAACCAACCAACAAACAAAACAAAACAAAAAAAACCCACAGAAAGTCTCATACAAAGCTTGTCTAACTCAGTGGTAAAACTTCCATTTTCTTCATTTGGATTTTTAAACACAAAAAAGATTGGTTGCATTAGCATCAATTAACAAATGCTAAAATGACAGTTCATTTTAGCAACAACATTTTGCAGTACAGATGGACTAATAGTCACAATTCAAATGACACTATTGTCAGAGAATGGCAATCACAAATGCACTCACAGAAATGAAGCAAAACTTCCACTTCTATTTTCATCTTGAACACTGCCACTTTCTAGAATGAAAACTATAAATAAACAATACACCGTGTGCTCCTAAGAGATAAGCCCCATGAAAGTGCATTTGAATGGTGTGGCCACTGTTAACACAAGCAACACTTCACTTACTGGCATTTCTAAAGGGTAACCAATACAGAAGAAAAAATGCAAAGAATATATTATGGACCTCTGTGAACAGATACCTTTCACATGCAATCTTGGAAGCAAATACTACAAAGTAGGCAAAATACATCCTCTACTGTTTTCTTATAACAATATAACTTCTTCTTTAACTCTCCACTTTCATTATTTCTGTAGATTTCACAGAGACTTTAGCATTAAGTTAAAAACAATACTGTGTTTACAAATGTGTTAGTGATTTGGAAAACTGTCCAAAGGTTTAGTCAAGCAAGTGTATGAGCAAATGCATTCAATTCACAAATTAGTTTTCTGCCATTTGAAGTCAATAGGACTGAAATGTCATTTGTGTTAATTTGAGATAATTCAGTCTTCTAAAATTATGAATTAAAAAGCCCAGAATACAGAAGACCTCTGTGTAGGACAAAATATTGAGGAAAGCTTTAAAGTAGTTTGCCAGATTTGCAGAAAGAATCAGATTCAGAAGGAGGCTTAAGGATCTGTCTCAGAACAAGACAGTTGATGATAAAGGGAATTCCTGTAAATACTTTCTTTTTTTTCCCCCCACTCCAACAGACTTTTAAAACCCTCTGTTTCATCCATAATCTTACAGTAATCTTGAGACAATTACTGGACAAAGAGTGATCTGGGAAGATCAGCCATCACATCTCTACCTAGAAGCAGCAGTTTGTTGTGGGTTTTGTTGCTGTTATTTAGTTTTCTTTAATTATTTTTATTTGTGTTTTCAGAATTTCCTACTGATACTAATGTTTGGCTTTGAGTAGAATCATTAATCAGAATCACAACTAACGTAATCAGCTGAAGGGGGTCACCTCTGTGAGTGGCAACTCAGGAGTACTTTCAGTACATGCATAAACTCCTACAAATTAACCTTACGTGCGTAAGTATCTGGAAGCCCATATTTCTCCCCAAAAAGATACTGAAGCTGTTCAACTATATAACCACTTGGGACCCTCTTTCTGGTACAGGATTTAATGAAGGCAATTCCACAGTTCATCATCTCTTTAGGGATCAAAGGCTAAGATTTTCACCTTATAAAAACTTAATGTTGCAACATCTGCACACCGTCATGCAAAAGCTAACAATCATTTTAATCTCTACACTGATTTTGCATGATGAAAAAAGATACTTCACTCATTAATGCACTTATCTGATTACAAAATACACTGACTAAAACCTTGGTATAAAAACAAGCTTAGTAACTAAGACCAAGACATCCCTATCTTAATTTTTGGGTTTTTTTTTTTACATTTCAGGTTATAAATATGCAAATGTTTCTGTGGTATGCTCAGAGCCATCCAGTTTCCCCTTGATAAATATGCAAATCAGTTTGTCTCTGCAGAGAGGAAGTAATTATCACTTTCAGACCTAGTCATTGAGCTCAGCACTTGAGGTAAAGATGGAAAATAATAAAACCATTGACAGCAACATAAGAAGTGGCTGCACATATGGTGAATAGTACATAAACTCTGCATGCAACTTGTTTAACATTCAGAGCTAGAACACAGCTACCGGAAAGTGGAAATTCTGGGGTGAAGCAATAGGTTGATGTTACAGCATGTTATCTGGAAGATGAGTGATTCTGCATAGGGGAAGTATTAGTATATGAACATCAAAGGTGAGGGGAATACTGGTTAGTATAACTGCTTGTACTGGAACAGAAAACAAATGCATAACTAATTACAAAATGTACAATAATTCCTGCAGGAAGAAAGTGGAGTGTACATTCAATGGAAAGTCTTGAATCAGTCTTATTGTGCTACTATTATTTTTAAAGTTATGCTATGGAATCAGCCCATACAAAGAAGTCTTCTCCAAAGTACAAAACTGGAGTTTCAAATGTGCTCAGTTCTTGCTATGACGTTAGTGGGATCTTTGGTGCCAACAGGACATTCTGCCAAACAAGTAATACCTGCTTCCGAAAAAAGCACATCTATAGTAGTGTTTTAATTCAGATCAGGAGTGCATATTTACAGTAAAGCCAGTCAGGGACAGTTAATATATTTTTGTTTGCATAGCAAAGCCCTCTTGGATTTTGTGACCTGGATTCCTTTCAAATGAAACAAAACTCAAGGACGGACTCCATGCGTGCACCTAAGGCACTCACACTGCTGATGGGCATTTGATCTACAGCACCACAGTAGAGCTGGTGTGAAGTGGATTTCCCATCTCTGCTAATGTGCTGACAGTCTTTCTCCAGCTTCGAATAGTTCAGACCTGCCACTGTTGGAAGTTCAAAACATGGCAGGACTGATGAATCCTACACTGAAACTCTGGTGCTAGCAC